GACCACCACATCAGAACTGGTACGGAAATGAACGATGCCAGGGCGTGAAGCTTCGACGCTCAACTTCTGTCTACTGACAAGCTGTAGACTGCGTGGAGCTCGCTTAGTTCGAGCCCTGGGACCAGCATGTCCATAAGGGCTACAAGGCCGTGTATCCAGTGTGCATTCTGGGCGTTGTGGCCGTGGCTATACAGTGCGTGTGGTTTCAGCTGGACGGGCGTTGTACCGGGCAGCGAGCCTCTGCAACTCCCGTCGCCCGCCAGTCCCAACGCGGTCATCGTCAGTCCGGAGTCCCTGTCGCACCAATCCTCGCCCGCGCGCCGCGCCAGGACCAAGGACCCGTCGAGACCCGGCTCGAGTCGACAGGGCAAATACTCCCCCTCTGTCGGGTGAGTTCCATTTCCGTCGTGTTCAAGGTCCGAGGTTCTCAGGGCGTGAAAAGATGTCGATCGCTGCCTTCTCGGTGTGACGTGGTATGTGATCTTGTGGGTGGTTATACCAGCGTTCGTGGGGGCTGCAGTTCACCCTGGATGTGGAGGCGTTCTTCCGAAACGTTGGTAACCACGAGACGGCAAGACGTCACAACCCAGAAGACCGCTCTCGACATCCAAACTAACAGATGTCGCCCGTGTAGATGCAACATTAACCTCACTTTACGTGAAACTCGCACGTAACATTGAAAAGTATACCTAATTAGCTTCACAGCTTTTCTCTGAACCAATGTCTCTACGTGGCTTCATCTGAAGGAGTTTTGTGTAAAATTTTCCTCGCATTAACTGTGTCAACGATACACACATTTCTGTAGGAAGTTCAGCAAATTTTTGTAATGTTCTCGCCGTGATTGTGTCGATATGAAGGAATCGATTATCGATTCTGGACCACCACGAACGTGTATGACGCGTGTGTGTGTTGCTTCAGTCTGCCGCCGCCGAGTGAGGTGATGGCGCCAGTGCTGTACCACGGTCACCATTCGCTGTCGATGCTGAAGAGACCCTCGCGCATCGAGCAGCTGCAGGTCGACTGGAAGAGGCTGGGCACGTGAGTACCGTTGGTCCATCCGAAGGAGCTGGAGGAGATGTTTGTCTGTTGCCCTCGTTATTGCTGAGTCTTGTTTCAGGGACGCTCTCACCACAACTCTGTCGGCTCTGTACGGAAAGCTGCTGGTGGTGATGGGCATTGCCTTCCCCATGGCCGAGGTCATCTCCACCTACATCCCGCCCTCTTTTTACGAGGTCAGTGAAATTATATTCCGCCTGATGCAAGCCCCAGTGATGCCAATTTGACGGCAAGACATTTTAAGTTCTGGGTCGTAAATTGGGGGGCCGACGAGGGTTCTAGGTTGTGATAGAGCGTGAAATATGGAGATTTTATGGAGATTACTGGTGAAAAACGCTTGTCCCAAAAGCAGCGCCCTCGTAAACTTCTTTGGGACTGAGAATGTCCGAAACATTTAAGGCGTTCCACTGAAGGATTCGAAGTCAGTGCAACTGAAGTTGGGCGACCGAGGGGGCCAAGTAACCCTTTTGTGTGTTCCAGGGTTTCTATCTCTACCTGTACTTTGGAAGTATGGTCTTTCTGCTCTATATGTACGCCATGCTTCTGCGAGACCGGGGTTCGCTCTCCGTCAGCAGTTCCTTCAGTGAGTGCCAAGAAACTCTTGGAGAACACAGGCGTTCTTTATGGCGTACGAATAAAAATGATTTAGCTGTTATATTTGTCAATTAATATGATGATCACGAGTTGTTATTACTTGCGAGACTCGTACTCGCTCTTCGTATGCCGGAGGTAAAGAACGCCTGCTGTAATGTGCGTTGTCATTTGTTGAAATCGTGGAAGGTCAATTCGATTCCCAGTCCAGACTCGGGGTTTTGGAACCGAATTGACCGCCGGACGGGTTCTTGGCTCAGTGTTGGTACTCCTGCTCAGGACGCTCGCGAGGAGAGGATTCGTCGGGCGACAGCGTCGCGGAGTCGTCTGAGAGTGGCGGCGCGGTCCCTCAGCAGCACACGGACACCGAGTTGAGCACCACCGCGACAGAGAGCCACTACCACCGGAGCGGGGAACCCGGGGCGCCTGCGCAGAGCAAACGCGACCCACGCGACGAGCTGGTCCACCAACAGCAGCATTACGGCAGCTTCTACCTTCGCATGGGCGCCGTCGGTGCGTGAGATCACTTTACCAGCTGGACGCCATTTTGACCTGAACGTCTTCAACTTCCAAAAATTCTGCGAGGTTCTTTGAGTTCGTGCCTTTCTGATTAAAAAGCCACGATCCTATATAAATTAGATCTGGCGTCTTGGGGCCTTCCGCTTCGCAAAAATTAACCGCATTAACCCTTTGAAGCCGAAGATCGGCTGAACATTATTTATGAATTCAGTCCGTACCGCGAAGAAAACACTACACCTCACCATTACGAAAATCAGCTGGTTAACCCTTTGAAGCCGAAGCTCGTCTTCATAATATTTACGAATCCAGACCGTACCGCGAAGAAAACACTTCACTTAACCATTAGAAGTCGAATCAGGCGGTACCACATAAGATTTAACAAAAGAACATCCCGGTCAAAGCCTTAAACACGTAGAATTTACTCCAGTTTCCGCGTAATTTGTCATTGATTTTCGTATTGACGATTGAAATATTCGACGTGTTGCAGCCTTTGGCATCGGAAGCATGATCTACTCGGGCCTCGAGTTCGGGCAGTACTTCGAGGTGGAGCGAGACACCAAGTGCCACAACGTGCTGCTCGCCCTGACGCCGGCCACCCGCATGGCGTTCACCTTCATTCAGATGTACTTCATATTCCTCAACAACGAGGTGACGACCGCAGATCTCATTACGATTTTTGCTCTGATTGGCTGTGCCGAGAGTTTAGCGGAGTCGTAAGAGGGTAATTTTTGTGTCTTGTGCAGCAAATGAAGGTTTGGCGACATCGCGCTCTGGCCCGCTTCGGGCTCATGCACATGATTGGCACGAACCTCTCGGTCTGGCTGAACGTCCTGGTGCAGGAGACGAAGCACGAGATACTCACGTTCTACAACCCGGAGAACAACACCCTGGGAATCTCGCACCGCCTCCGTAAGTCACGGCCTTCCGAAAAGTAGTTCCCCGATCTGTTACGTGGGGCTTAAAAGAGTTCCTTTGTAAGACTCCGCCCTGAAATTTTACGAAAAACTTTATTGTACTGCGTTAAACATCGCGCCTTGTTCCACTCAGAGTTTATTCCAGGTCTGGGAGGACGCGGGAGTCAGTCGGAGGAAAGCCAGCGCCATTTTCAGGCAAAACTTTGAAATTCTTATAATTTGCGTGGATTTGTTTCTTTAGAAAAATCTAGGGATTAATTTTCGTGGCTCTAATTGGTTTTTGGTCCAAGTGTTCTCACGTAGAGCCCGAGTTCTTCCTTCAGAGTGACAGACACTGAACCTCGCCCTTAAGAACGAAGGAAAAAGAAATATTTTCGTTCCCAGCGTCAGTCCGCTTTATAGACTCGGAGACGTTGAAGTTCGAGCCGACGTTTCGAAACACCTCGGACTCCGTTCGTCGCTTGCATTCGGCTGCCCCGCTGAAAAGATTTGCACCGAGGGTCGAAAGTCACAGGCCCGCGCGGAAATCGTGTGAGGGGTTGGCAAATTTTTGGACAAAATGCGCCCCCTTGAGGGAGAAACCGTGATAAAGGCGAAATTTTTCGTAGACCTCGTCATTGCTGGAGAAAATTTCGACGAACATTCGGAGGCAGTTGTTCCCCACACGCGACTGCAATGTCTTTCAACTCCACGGAGCAAAACTCTGCTTGAGAAGCTGACAGTCGACCAGCTGGTCAATAAATTCCTCGCCTCTGGAGCACACGAATCAGTCCACGCTCTCAGCTCTATTTCTCTAAGATACATTTTAATATTATCCTCCTAGTCTCAGCTGCCTACAGCCGGTTTTCGGCTGAAAAATAAATATTTGTTCAAGCTGACTGTCTTCTGGTAGAAGTTTACCGACGTTTCAGAGGTGCTTGCTGCCTCCATCATCAGGGAGAGATTAGCCATTTTCAGACTCACCGCCGTGAAAACCTGAAAAACGACAAAAAATCGAGAGGTCACCGCGCGAAGTGACTGTCGAAAAGCGAACTTAATTTTCAGCTCTTCCTAATTTACGTCAAGAAAGTGCGAAGCCGAGACTGCAACCCGGGTCTCACTCACTGCGTTTCATTCAGCACCGACCGACCGAGAGCGCTGTTTGGACACCTGCTGCGGCGTATTGATCACACGCTGACACGTGCCCTGTACCGGGTGTTCACCAAATTGCGGAACTCAGAGAAATAGAGAACGGGCCTCGTAACACTAACGCCACCTAGAATCGTTTAGACGGGGAACTCTAGGCAGAAGCCGTGAGACAAGAAATGCTAACAGAATTTTAAGCCCTTACGAGCTCTAACGCCAGCCAGAAAGACGTTGTTAAGTTTTTGTACCGAACGCGTAGTGGGCGGGCATGTAGCACGCATCCGTATCGAGGCTTTTGGCTTTGTTTCTTTGCAGCGATGAGGATCCACGTGCCGATTGTGGCCTCTGGCGGGGCCGTGGCGACGTCGCATTCCCACAGCCGCGTGGAGCGGGGCCTCAAGGGGCCCCATCACATCTACGAGTGCAGGCGCACCAACATCATGGGGTCCCTGGTGCAGGATGCCAGTCCCTTCCTGTTCCCCTGCACCATCGAGTACTCGCTGATCTGCGCCGCCATCCTCTACGTCATGTGGAAGAACATCTGTCGCGCTTCGCCCTCTCAGGGGCCCTCGGGGGCGCGCGCGGGGCGCCAGGGCCTGCCCCCTCAAGCGGCCTACAAGCGCCACCCTCACCACTACTCGGTGGACTGCGCACGCGCGCACAAGGGCCTCTTCGTCGGCATCCTGGTCCTCGTGCTCACCATCATCTCCCTCATCCTCTTCTTCGTGCTCATTTCGCGGCCCGAGTTCGTGAACTTGGCCGTCATGGAGGTCAACATCTGCGAGCTGACCCTCTACGCCATGACCACCGTCGCCACCCTCGTCGGCATGCTCCAGGTACTTGGGGGTTCGATCTCCGACGGGGGCAGAGGATTCCTCCTCCAGCCTCCGGTCCAGTGGGTACCAGTGAGTAGCAGCTCTCCTCTCCCCCCAAACGCCTACATGGCGCGTAATGGGACATGAAATGTTTCTGTTTGCGAGCTTTTTATTGCACTCGAAAAAGTCACGTGATACATTTTAATACTTTAATTGGTAATTTAGGTGTCAGTATTTAACTCCTTTAGATAATAAAACTACGACGTTTTAATAAAAAGGGTTACCTAGCAACAGATAAGCCAGAAAACAATTTTTTGTTGTATAATTCTGTTATAACCACGGTGGTCTAACGGTTAGAACGCTGGCCTTGTAATCCTGGGGTCTCGGGGTCGAATTTATAACTTGTGTTGGGCAAGGCCGTGGTCTAGGCAACACGGAGTTTTCCTCCGTGGCATCCCAACAATTACTCCATTCACACACAGAAGAAGGCAATGGCAAACCACTTCTGGATCATCTGCCAAGAACGTATATGAACAGGTCCCAGTCCGAGAAAAGGATGGAAGGATCCTGTTCATATGGACCTGTCGTCACACAGAACACTAAATAAATAATAAATAATTCTGTTGTTATCTCACGAGTACTGAGTATTCCAAGAGAGAGGATCGGACTTGCTCAGTTGGTGAGTAAGCTGAACACAATCGCAGTCAGAGAAATTCTATTATCCGTCTCCTGACGCCGGGCGTCGTCTCGCGCGATGTGTTCGCAGGTGCGACAGCTCAAGTACGACGGCGGACGGAACCTGGAGCTGGACAACATCTTGTTGATCGGCGCGCAGACGGGGCTGTTCATCTACAGCACCTTCACGATCATCGGCGGCCACTTCACGATCGAGAAGAACACGGTCCTGGTGCTGATCACGGCGCTCGCCTCTCTCCTGCAAACCACGTGTCAGACGATGTTCGTGCTGGACGCGTCGCGGCGCTCGTGCGTCACGCCGGATCAGATCCGCCGCAAGCCGGGGCGCGAGCTCGTGACCTTCCTGCTGGTGACCAACCTCGCCATGTGGGCCATCAACACCCTGGAGAAGTCGCGCGCCGAGTCCCACCCCATCCAGCTCCACTTCTACGGCCTGTGGGCGTGGACCATCATCACGCACGTGTCGATGCCCCTCGCCATCTTCTACAGGTGAGAGACCCGAGGATTCGGAGCTTATTTTGCGTTTTTGAAGATTTCAGAATTCGTGTTAAGATTATTAATTATTTTAATTCAGCGGCCACACGAAGTTAAGATGTCACCAGGGCTTTTATGAATGCGGTTATGAACAGTTAATGTTCTGAGTTCCTGAGAAAGTTTCGGGGTTTCGAACCAATAAATCAGCGAGCGGTACCTTCGGCATCTGAGTTCGATTCTCGCTGTGGCCGGAAAGAGAATTCGGTCTTAAGACAGACGAGACTTCCGCTCGCCTTTTCGAGTTCGTCTCTGAAATCATTCCGCAGAATTAAGTGATATTTTGGGGTCTGGGGGAACTCATTTTGGGCACTTCCTTGGGTCCGCAGGTTTCACTCGACCGTCTGTCTCTGCGAGATCTGGAAGCGCGCGTACAAAATGAAGCCGACGTACATGTAGAGGAGACGGCGGCCCAGGAGTTCACTGCCGACGCCCGGAGACGCCGCGCGTTTCATTTGATTCATCGGACGCCATTAATCGGCGTCTGAGTTCCATCCAACTTCTTGTTCGGTCAGAGACACGAACCCCGGTCAGACGCCGGCTTTTCCTCGTTTTTCTGTCTTGTTCTTTAATTGGCTGTGCCGTGGGGCAGGCGGTCCAGAAAATGGCATTTTAGTCCTCTGCAAAAAAAAGTTTTTTTTTTAAAAAAATTCGTACTAATTACGACACTACGTGTTAATCAACTACACAATTTAGATTTAATTACCAATTTCGTACTCTGAAGCAGCGACGCGGGCCACAAAATTGGACCAGGCCTTTCCAGAGGACACGCAATAATAACATTGATAGGATTAATGGATTTCCAGATCCACAGCATGAAGGATTTGTGTGTTAATTCGTGTGGTGTTTCGTAAGTTTGTTTGCGCTTACACGGAGAAAGAAACGAGGGGGCTGTGCCCCGTTCCCGCATTAGCCTTTGCACTGAAATTTCTACATTGCCACCCGGAACACCGAGGCGAGTGGCAGGTGCCCGCGTGCTGTTGCCGACGTCTGGGACGACCCCTCGAGGGGCAAACCTTTATATAGCTTTATGTAGGACGATAACTGATCAACCGTACGAGAAATTCGTATGGCGACAGCTGAAATGTTGCGGTCCCACGAAAACATCACTAAAAAAATTGAGGAAACGTCGCAAAAGTGAGGTTATGTGTTCCGTGCAGGCCACAAGTTAATGTTAATGTCTGCGTCCACGCCGACTTATTCTCCAAACAGAAAATCCATTTACACTTCCGAGGCTCAGTGAACAGTCTTTGCCCTAGTTGGGGGATGCGCGTACTTTAATCCAATTTGCAACCTTCCGTTGCCAGTCGTCCAATCACTTCTCAGTGCAAATGCAGGTGAATCATCTCATCTCCGCGTGTTTTGTAACAAACTTATGAAACATTCTGTATTTTACATAACCCCCGTGTATTTTATATAACCCACGTATTGAGTGTCAGCTGAGGACGAAGGGGCGCAGTGTTCGATTCCAGTAGGCGACCTTGACGCAAATTTTTCTGGTCGCTCTTTTGTCTTTATACTTTTGGTTACATATAACTGTCAACAGATGGCAGCTGCAGTGAGTCCCATGAAACACACTAGTTCTTTAGCACAAACTCAACTCGGTGTTTAGACACGCGAATGTTTGTAACAATGTAACAAAGCCTACCTCCTTTCTCATTTACAACACCGCGGGGAGTAACGCTCCACTTTCAAATCACCAAATATGCTGGGGTTACGGAAAGAAGCGAGATTTTTTAAGCCCAGAGCACGCAAAATGTTACGTGTCTTTGTTCTGTAGGTCTCACAGTTGTTCGTGAAATTTATTCACAAGTTAATCATCGCCCCTTCTTCCCCAATGCAGCACCACACTTTTGGACCAAAAAAACTCAGCTCATCGAGATTGAGTACTTTCAGGAATATATAAGTCAACTGTTCGTCAGTATTTTGTGTCGTAGCTGATAATATGAATAGTAGCAAGGAAGCGCTCAAATTTTCTTTCTAAACGGAGAAACCAACACCAATAACTTTCTTTTATCGTCTTCCCAGTTACAAGCAGTACAAATGACGCAGTCACCAGACGGGAACAAATCTACCGCAGTTCAAATGTTAGAGACTGACAACTTCCTTACCAGTAATCCGGTTTTTAGAGGCAGCCCGTGGCGCCCGCTCTGCGCATGTGCAGTAGTTCTAATTTCTACCGCTGTCGCTAGGAGAGGGGCCACGGCGAGAGCCATTCGTATTGATAATAAGCCTTTTTTAATACACTGTATTTCTTATACTATAATGTCTTTTCTAATATTGTCACACGAGAGACCAATTTATTTTATAGCATACGTGATTTTATGTGTGTTAGCTGTAAGTACAGGGCGCTCCAGAAAACCCTGTCAACGTTTCTCATTTTCCGACTTGCTTGCGTTTCTGGAACACTCTGTACACTCGATTATCGGTGTCCATGACAACGGCTACACAAAACAATCGAACTTAGCTTAGAACACTGCACCAACTGTTACCATGGCAACAGTTGGTGCTTCTTATCGTTGCGTCTCAGTGTTTGTGTGTATCTGTGTAATATATTTTGTATATAAGCATTGCGTTAGAGCAGGAAGTTTATTATTTAATAGATGTATAATATACGCACATAAAAATTGATTGTTTGTTGGCCATCTGAGGGAATGGGGGGGGGGGGCCAGGACTGTCATCGCGCATGTTAATTTGGACAATTGTTTACTTACATTAATTTACTACGCATTTTTGTTTCTCGAAAGGAGCGAAAACAATTCCGTGGCTCGATCCCGTTTTGGTGCAATCGATACTCTCGAGTTGTCGACATATCGATAAATTTCCTGAGCATTCTTTTAAAGTCCATTCCTTCTAATAATTTTCTTGGAGGCGTGTGTGAAATGAGAATGCCAGTTTCGGAAGTCAAGAGCCGAAAATTTCAGGGATAACTTTACTTTCGCGAGGCCGAGAAAATTTATCGATATGACGAACACTTCGAGAACACAAAAAAAAAAAAGTCTTCGAAGTGCGCTCCGAAATGGAATCTTGCAGGATCCGTACCATGCAGCACAGTTTTCGTAGTTTGTATCAAAAATTATTTTTATAAACATTTTTCTAGTGGAGTGAAGTATTTACAAAATTACTGCAGCTATTAAAAAAATGTTGTCTGGTTCTGCTGCGGGATATTTAGTTGTGTGTGGTTGGCAGCACTGCTGGCACCCCCCTTTTATGACGTCGGTTTCTTGAACAGCAGAAGCTCTCTTATTCTATGAGACTTGTGTATATATATAGGCCTTTATAAGATTATAGGATTATTTGATAAAGTTGTGATCATGTTTCTGTTACCCGCTCCGGCCTGCGCACCTCCTGTTGTGAACCAACAGCGCTGTTCTTGTATGTTTCTTGCTGGTGTGTAGGATCTTGGTTCTTGTGATAAATGTTGATAAAAACGAGAGCGAAAATTTTGATTTTTGAAGAATAACCAAAATGTGCATGGGATCTGACGCAACTAGAAACCAAGCTAAAATGGATTCTGCCAACGTACAGACCGCAGCGTTTAAGAAAGTTAGCTGTAAAAGACTTTCGAAACTTGCTCTTAATTAAAACAGAAGAATCAATTCCACTCAAAAGATGTGCCAACGCCTTGCGGAGTTCAACTTTTACTTTGGAGGGTTTTTGAATTTCGTGAAGCTGTTATGTAACATTTTCACACGTTTCCTGTTGTGGCAAATTTTATGTCCGTTTTTACACTCACAACGCCGTCAAAAACTTGTCAGAATCAGTCAGTTCGATCGATCGATTATTTTATTTCTCGTCGTACCAACCGTCGTACTTCGAAGCCGGAAGCTGCTCATGTTGGCAACACTTCACCACTCACGAATATCGCTCAACTCTTCGAGATGGAGGATCGATTAATCGTGTTGTTTCCTTAGCCACAAGAGCACGATTAAGCATGTTGCAACTAGTAGTGCGCAGACCGGAGCGTGTTCGTTCTGTTTTGCTCTATAGAAATAATCTAGAATATTGTTTGGAACGCTGTGCTGTTGACTGTATAAGAAGAATAAACAATTTGTCGCTTACGAAGTTTAACCAGTGCTACCAATTCATCCCGCTGTTATTCTCATCGGCCTTGAACCGAGTCCCGAATTCCAGCATTGGCCTGGAGACCTGACATCAGTGCGGCAAAGCTCATTCGTGATTTTCCTCAGTCCCCAAGACTAGATTGGAAAAGGGAGGGGGGGAGCTCACACTGATTCATCAGCCACAGCCGTTTTTATACTCGGCGTCGCGTAATCTTTGTAAAAACCGAAAGGTTATACTGAAAACCTGAATTTCGTATTCCCAGAGGGAATTGAAGTGTGTGATAATTAGTTTACATACGCTTCATTAAGGCCATTAAAACTTACCGCGGTAAGCTACAGGCCAAATTATTAAAAATTTGTAGGTTAATATTTGTTAATTAACTGGCTAATAGGCCAAATTCAAATTCCGCCATTAGTCGCTATCTTGAGCCAGATCCAATTTTAAACTCTCACAGTTTTCTCGGTCTTCCAAGTGGTTACCTGACAAGAGGTTTCCCCGCCGAATTTCCGTCTGCATTTTTATATCTTTCGTGCTCAGGCCGAACATAATGGCTTCGAAAGATTTGACAAGGAATTCGTTCAAAACATCGATGTTTTGTGTGACTCATTTCTCGAATTGTAGACCCACGCGATGGGAGTACAGAGTACCAACATTTTAACATTTAAGTATCACGTGCAAACCAGACAGCTGCCCCGTACCGAAGTGGAAATGTGTTTTAGTAAAATTTCCTATTTGTGAGATCTGGCGTTTTCGCGGTAGATACCAACATCTCAGAAAAAAATTCCTGTCCCCATCTTCAGCCCTTTATTTTGTGCTCGTTTAAAAAAGGGACAAATGTATCCTGTACTAGTTTGGAATTAATAAAAGGACGCGGTCATAACGTGCTTGGCCCACAACATCAGCGCTGCAGTCGCCTCGCGATTTTCCAAAACGAACAGAATCATTATCTTCCTAGCACAAACGCATTCCTTCTCCGGCCTTGCGCGTTCTGTTTCAATTGTACATTCCGCACTACAGTTAGTTTCATAATGTTGCCTAAGTCTGAACAGGTAAATTTTCATACTTCGCTGCGTCAGCGCGCATGCGCACGGCAACCATTTTGATTCCAGCGCCAGGCGATTGTGTTGTGTTGTGTAGAAGACAAGACGAAATTAGAGCGATAGCGTTACTCCAACCACTAGCAATCTGCTTTAGTTTGCAATAATGATTTGGTTTATGTTACGTTGGATGCATGATGTGGTTAGTATTTTACATTATTTGCTCGTTTTATGTGAAATTCTAGAGTAAAATGAATTTGTTGTTCATCCTGAAAAATGATTCGACGTTTGTGAAGTCAGTTTAAGTATAATTTTCTCCGTACGTGCTCAGTTCTGTGACCCCCCGAATCGCTGCCCAGCCAGTAGTAACAGCCGAATAGTCTGGAAAGCGTTCGGCTTTTGTCTGTTCGAGCGGATGCCGGAAGTGACACGTGAGGTTGCACGTGGCTTCAAGACAAGGCTGGCTGAACGCAATACAGGCCCAAAGGACGATTCGTACTGAAACTGACTTCGCAGTCTTGAGCTTTTGTTATGTGACGTTGCAGGCAGGCAACGTGTTTGGTGGTGACCTTGAAGCTGTGCGCATTATTAACTTTGTAACTCGATGATGGTGAGCGACGGTCAGCTCTCCGCCCCGGCCAGCACTAACGGTGTTCGAACTTCGTGTTCTACATGTCCGGCCCATCGTTTTCAACTATATTTTAATACCAGGTAACCGTTCTCCTTATATAAACTTTATATTACAGTCACTGAAGTGCCTGGCAGATTCCAATGAAACTCGATTGAGTTATTATATTCTCTCGTGCCACTTTCATGTTGGTTCATTTTAAAAATATAACTAAATTTGTATGTGATTCTGATTAATGATACTCGCTGTAAACAGGGATAGTTTCTGTAAACGCCATTAACAAGTTGGTCTTTGCAATGGTGAAGTGTCGTGTTTTCTTCGCGGTACGGACTGGATTCTTAAATATTATTTAAACGAGCTTTGCCTTCAGATGGTTACGAGCCTTCGAATCCTAAATATTCCGATGAAAAGGCCTGTTACGTCGTACGTATTCGGGTGTGGGTTCAGTCTACTTAAAGGCCCATTTTCCTTAGGTCATGAAATCATTCGAATGGTTCGTACAGCGCCTTTAGCTTAAATAATAATGACGATAACTATGATTATTATTACTATTATTATGATCGAACGTCGTGGTCGAGTGGTTAGCACTCCTGCTTTGTGTTTGGAAGGTCACGGCTTCAAATCTCGGCCCGGAGACCGGCTATCTTGACTGAGTTTTTTCGTGATTTTCCTGAGTTCGTTCAGTAAAATGCAAGAATAATACCTTAAGTTAAGCCATCGACCTGTAGTCTGAGCTACAGCCTTATTTGTCTGTCACGCACTTCAGTGAGTGAATTGTATTATTACTATTGTTGTTAGTGGTTGTAAATTCCGGTATCCAGATTGTCCGTCGCGCTTAGCGTAAATTCGCTCGGAGCTGGAAACGGTTTTACAAAATGCCATTTATTTTCGAGCTGTACCGAATCTCCGGTTCCGATCTCTTCTTGCACGAGGGATGCTGCCTGCTGAGCGACGTTGCCAAATTTCCTCTCCTCCCCCAAGTCGTTAAATCTCCCATCGGGACCCGTGTTACAGGGTGCTTCAAAAATACCTTGCCCCTAAATCATTACCAGGCAGAGTTGATTTACAGCTGAGGACGTGGAGGAAAAATTCCACGTAGTCTTTGTCTTCAGAATGCTCGCTCACGTTGGAGTCGGTGGTGAGCAAATTGCCCTTCGGCTCAGAAGTGGATTTTCACTTCAGCTATTTTTTTTTCCCGTGATTCTTAGAATAAATCCCCAAATCTCCTAAATAATCGGATTTCAACCACGAAAATGGAAACTCCTTGCCATGACGAGGGTCCGTCAACTTGACGAAATGAAATTTTGCTTCTTATGACATCCCTCGGTGATGCAAAGTTCCGGCTTGGGGCTTGGGCGTGGGGCTAACAACCCTTCACCGTATTTTTTTTTTTACGATGGGTCTAAAACCTCCTCGGACCGGGACCGATTCTTTGGCACGACCGAAGCACCTCGGCGTAGATGAGAGCAAAACGCTGAGATGGACCTCGAGGAGGCGGGAATCGATGGAGCGAAGTGGATGCAGCTGGCTCGGGATAGTGTCCGGCGGCGTGCTTTTGTGAACACGGTGACGAACCTTCTGTTTCCATAGAGAACGCGGGCTTTTCTTTGACAAGCTGTGTATACATACGATCGAATTTTCAAAGAATGTAATCCACATCGGAGGACCGCGTTTCCTTCCCAATTGGATCTTATTTATGATTTAAATTGGTTCTGAATTTTGTCGCAGGTAATGAACAATGCACACAGCGACGTAAAATTTCCTCGTGTGTCCTTAAATGTATATGTTTTACGCCTATTTATAGGTTTTTTTTATTTTACGAATTTCGATTACAGTTCGCGTAAGGTTAGCGTTACGTCGTACGGATGTGTTCGAAGAGAATTCTCCAGAATCTAGTTAATAACAGACATCGTTTCCGTCGTGGCGCGACCTCTTCGTAAGCCCTCGATTGTGGACGTGAGAGTCATCTGTCGGCCACTGTGAGTACTTCGTGCAGGAGCGCTGTTATAATCCGGGGTTACAAATTCGTGGATCAATAAGACCACTCACGCGCGCCGCGAAATTGCATTATCCTTATTTCGCTGCCGTACTTTTACAGTGCGTTGTGTCCGATCGCTCCATTGCGAGAGGCATACCTCGTTCTATTGCGCTCCGCAGATATTGCGTTTTTGTTTTACGAATTTAAGGTGTGTGGCAACCCTGCGTCGAGCAAGTCTGTCGGCGCCATTTTTCCAACATCACGTGCTCACTTCGTGTTTCTGTGTCTCATTATTTTAATTTTCGCATTGTTTTTTTAGACTTAATAGACTACAGTATACAGTAAACATAACTTTTATAACCAAAAAATTCGTGTGACTCACTTTATTGCGGTGGAACCGGAACCGCAATATCTCCGAGGTATGCCTGTATTGGATTATTTCATAAAAAGCTCTATCAGTGTTACCAACAATATGCCTGATTTTCTCTCTCGGTGAACTCCTTATTGGGGATCGTCGTGTGGATTTCGACGTAACTGATCCAGATAACTAATCGGACTGATTAAAACTTTTTAAAAAGAAATCTACGTCAACATTTTCTGCTCAGAGGCCCCCGAGTAACATTTCGTAACTTACTAGTATTTTATACAAGGGAGTTGTTAACCCCCGAGCTGAGGGACCACCCCTTGTCGGCTGTTAGCGATTGCTCATTCAGTACGTTCGAAGCTGCCGTCAAGAACAGGACGTGTTTTGACACTATCAGCTTTCAACTTTGCTTCTCTTCTGTTCCGCTGAACTTTCTCATGCGCGGCACGTGACGCACACCACGTGATTTCTCCTCTCGAAGGGGAGGGGAGGGGACACGTGGAAATAAATATAGAAAACAAAAGCCTGCGCTGTAAGCGTGTAGGAAGCGTAACCCATACTGAATAAGACTGTCGATGATAATAAACTCTGTGTGTGTGTGTGTTCATGCTATGAATTATAATTACGAAAGACAAGTCGTCGTCGTCATTCTGAAACTGCGATGTGCGAATTTACAATTTGTTATGAAGAATCGTTGCTCACGTAAGGCCTCCATTTTCGGAACTACTCTGACAAAGACGGGCTGAAATTGAAGGGGACGTGGTCTAAGCCACTTCGAGAGAAGGAACATTCAGGGATTTGGGGCACCGAACATGGAGATGGCTGTCTTCTGGGTTGTAACGCCCCCTTAACGACGTCTATCGCAAACCCAGACGACAGCCACATTCAGCACAGAAATACACTACACGCACCTCAGTACCTCAGATAATTAACGTTTAGTTACGTTTTTCAAACGCCAATTCGCGAAAGTGGGCGTCGGTGATTCTTGAACGCGATTTC